GCTATGGGGAAAGACCTGCCAAGCTCACCTTTCTTCTGTTGGACTCTTAAAGTTCTGAGCAAGGACTGATCCTATTCCACATTCTCAACATATCAAGCTCTGAAATAGAAAGCTCCTGATCCTTTCCCTCGCTACAGACAATATTTTGACATGGCAGCAAGTGCACACTAGATTCTCCCTTCAAGTGCAGGCCAGAATGGTATGAAAGAAAAATCACCACTGAGGCCAAATCTCCACAGAGGCACTTACAGATAAGGGAGCCCTCAAGCTGTGTTTGGCAGAAAGAACATTCAAGGAAAGCATTATATATATATATATATATATATATATACTTCACTTCCCTGTTTATGTAATTTTAATTTCTTGGCCACAGTAGGATAGAGAAGTTTGGTGGGGTTTTTTTTTTTTAATTACACAAAAAACACTTGCCCTGGCATTCTTCTGAGTTACATCCCTTGTCATCACCATTTCTGCTATTCTTGTTTCTCAGTCTTCACTTCTGTCCACTTTCTCCATTTTTACCTTGTTTTTACTTCTGTTTTTTCCTCCCATTTCTTTACCTTCTATCATCTTTCTATCATCTAATTCCTACCTCTGATCTCCTCTATATTTCTGTCATGTGGATTATACTGATCTTTACATGTTGAAACTTTATTTCACACTTTAGGCAGAGCAACAGGATATATACTCCCATTCCAAGATCATTGTTTCAAATCCACTTGCAGACTCAAAGACAAATGGACAGCATTTTTTCTGAAGGATTGGAATAATAATGTACTCTCCTCTAAAAAAAAAAAAATTAAAAATGTTTGCACGCATTACCTAGGCTATAGAAATACAGTAGGCAGTTTACATCACACTGCTCTAAGAACAGGAAACACCTCCAGAGTGCAGGACTATGGAACAGCAGGCATTCCTTATTTCAATAAAGATACTCTAGAGGTTAGAGGATGTAACTTCTGCAAAACAGTGTACCAGACCAAAGAGAGGGGACAAAGGAAAAAAACTGTACGACACTTATCTCCCTTATCTGAAAGGGGCACTCTATATAAATATTTCAGAAAGTCTACTCATTTTCAGAATTATACAGCAACAGATTTTTAAACATTCAACTCAATGCCAGAAAACTGGAATAATGCATTTCAAACCTTGACATAAGATGTATAGGAACAAACATACTATATTTAGTCATACTACCATGAAAATTAAACTTCCACACACTGACTTATTTACATACAATTCGTTAATTAAATATTTTTAAACATAATTCCTGGTAGCACATTAAAAATTCATCTGATCAAAAGGTTGCATTTATTTCCTTAAAAAGTCAAACTTCACTTACTAGTACAGGCCTCTGGCTATGTTTATACAATGTGACATTCCACTGCAAAAAAAAAAAAAAATAAGCAGCTTTTATATTTAATGACCAATTTCTTCTAAAAGCAAATTTCTTTTCTGTCTCTCCAGAGAGACTTCAGTAACATTCTGGACACCAACCAACATCTCTACAATACTACCACTGAGTATTACTATATTAAGTTCTTCCTACTATAATATTAGATTATATTTAGACCTTGACCTCTATAAAAGTGCTTAAAAATGAACTATCAGTTTGTATCAAAATAACAACTTACAGGCACAGACTGCCACCTAGTGATTTTAGTTATCTAAAATTAGAAAGAAACTAAAAAATGAAACAAAAACTCAGTCTCTCTTCCAGGAGAGGAGGAAAAAAAACCCCATTCATTCTTTCATATTTTATATCAACATATAGAAATAATTTCATATTATATTACTTGCATCACCTATTATAATTTGGTGGTAAATTCAGGAGGGGGATGGGGAAAGAGTCACTAAGTGTATGTAATCTCCCTCCTAAGATTCATCAGGTTGGTTGGTTGTCACTTCTATCTGGAATTCCTCCTTATTTTAAAGGGAGTCTAGTCTTTTTATAAAACAAGCATTTCATCTAGAATTTATTTAATCTCTGAAACTGCACTGATAGGCAGACACATCCCTCAAAACACTGTATTCTTTCAAATTTTTGCACTTTCAGTCTTTTCTGTTTCTCCTCAGCATTGTAACTATATTTTCAGTACATTCTTCAGTTCATTTTTGCCATTCCCTCTTCAGCCACTGCCTGTTTTCTACTGAATTTCACTATCAATGAAGAAAGAAGCTGACTTACCCGTGTCCTCTTATCTGCCTTACAAAACTGAATTCCCATTCTGTAAATGAGTCCTAAATACAGGACCTTATCTTCAGACTCTCTTCCTGTTCAAACTTGTATTTCAGATATTGTCTTTTATTTACTTATGGGCACCTCAGCAGCATCATAAAGAACTTTTATTTTCCCTGTGTATTGGGTTTGTATGGCCAGGTTTTGATAGAAGGGAAAGGAGCTACAGGGGTGGCTTCTGTGAGAAACTGCCAGAAATCTCCCCTATGTCCAACACAGCCAATGTCAGTCAGCTTCAGGACAGGCCCACCTCTGGCCAAGGATGAGCCCACCAGCAAGGTCAGTAATGCCTCTGTGATAACATATTAAAGAAGCAAACAAAGTTACGGCATGGACTGGTGCAGCCCATGGTGAGGTGGCTGTGCTGGTGCAGCCCATGGAGGTCCATGGGGGAGCAGAAATCCACCTACAGCCCCTCAAGGAACATCAGAGTAGGTGGATGTCCAAAAAAAAAAAAGTTGTAATCCCATGGGAAACCTGCACCAGAGCAGGCTTGTGGCAGGACCTGCGGCCCTGCGGAGAGAGGAGTTCATACCGGAGCAGCTTTGCTGGCAGAGTTTGTGACCCTATGTGGGACCTATGCTGAAGCAGCCTGTTCCTGAAGGAACAAGGGCACCTTGTGAAAAGGGCCCACACTGGAGCAGTTCATGAAGAACTGCAGCCCAGGGGAAGGAGTCATGCTAGAGAAGTTTATGGAGAACTGTCTCCTGTGGGAGGAACTCCACGTTACAACAGGAAAAGTACTCTTCTCTATGAGGAAGAAGCAATGGCAGAGACAACAAGTGATGAACTGGCCATAACTCCAATTCTCTATCTCCCTGTGCCACTGGGTGGGAGGAGGAGGCAGAGAATCAAGAGTGGAGTTAAGCCCAGAAAGGAGAGAGGGGTAGAGGGAATGTGTTTTTAAGATGACTTTTACTTCTCATTATCCTACTCTGATTTTGATTGGTAATAAATCCAACCGATTTCTGTAAGTCAAGTCCATTTTGCCCACAGCAGTAATCAGTTTGTGACCTCTCCATATCCTTGCATCAACTCAAGAGCCTCTCATTACATTTTCTCTCCTGCATCCACTTGAGCGGAGTGCTAGAGCAGCTTTGGTGGGTACTGGCCTCCAGCCAGGGTCAAACCACCACATCAAGTCATGCCTTCTCCACCTCCTTCTCTCTCAATCACTATTAACACCTTCTCTCTCAATCACTATTAACTAGACCTAAACACCAGAATCTGTAGAACAAACTTTTTATTAATGTATGAAAACAGTAAAAATCTTTTCAAATTTTTCCTTCTCTTCTAGCTGACACACTTTTCCTCTAGCAAGTATGATCTTTGCAATAGTATGAATGAATGCAGAGACAGCTTCTTACCTTATCAATCTGATCTCACCAGCACTTTATATATTTACCCATTTTACTTTATAATCACCTGAAACAATAACACTTACTTTTTCTTCATAAAACCTATCCTCTTGTTCACCCTGAAGAGGTCAGTACCCTTTTTGCACAAATGGCAATACTAGTTTCATTAATCCTTGTTCAATGCATATAAGTACAATTGTACTTTGTATAAATACAATTCTTATGTTCCCTCTCATATTTTAAATGAGGTCTTTCCAAATATTCCTGATGTCACATCATAGCTTCCTCAAAAATCTCATTTAAAACCTTTGTTATAATACCCATGCAATAAACCTGACTCTAGCTAGGCTGCTGATGTGCTGTGACTGCTGGTTATCATCCGGATTAGCACAGTGCAAACAGTCCTTTGCACTCCCTCAACAGACCCCCAGTGCTCTGTCAGGGCAGTCAGGGCCATCACAGAGTCTCTGAACAGCACTGGCACATTGGAATATTCTACCAATAAAATGCTACTACAAAGATTATTTAATCTCTTTCCTCCGTTCCAGTATTATATGACTGTCTTACATCAAAAAAGCTCATCAAATGACCCTCAAAGCACCACCCTAAGAATATAAAGTTTGTCCCTTCTGTCTTTTAAACTGGAAATGTTCACTAAAACCCAAGAAGGTTGCTTACGCAACCATCTGCTCCTGTTACTTACTTCCCAAATAACATCTGTTGCCTATGTTTCCAGCATCTGGTTGCTGTCTCAGAGGCCTGGTTTTCACATGGAGTCTAGTACGCACAGTCAACATATCACACCAGCTACAGAAATGTAAGTCAGTCTCCACAAGCAACACTAAAGATCACAGCTAACAGAAGTTCTATGCAAATTATTTGAACATTAACATGTCAACTAGAGAGCAAGAAAACAAGATAATTGAAGCAGAGAAGTAAATATGGTTGTGTTTCTGAAACTTCTTAGAAGTATAGTCTTTGTCCTCTCCCTTTTTTAGTTTACTCAAAAAAAGGTGGAAGTTTGTTCTCCAAGATGGCTGTAACACATCATTATTATCGTTAACTAAATTTAATCACTTGCTGCAAAAGGTCCAAGTCATCTCTGTGCCTTGAAGAAACTAAGCTGCTGAAATTTAATATGTTATAACTTCTTCTTCTCTGTAATAGCCCAGCGGGGGAGTAGCAATTGCCAAATTAAAAGCTGTATCATGTTATTGTCTCCACAACCAGCTTCCAAGACCTGTAAAATACTCTACACTAATTAGCCTGCATACATGAAACATTGATTTTACGGTTTTTTAGCATTCCAGTAACAACACTTCTCACAGCAAAATGGGTGAAAAAAAAAGAGCAGAGATGTTAATATGAAACTGATGTCAGATTTATAAATTATATAAACTTACCATATTTGTCTCGCAAGCCAACTGTACATCTGAAGACTCCACCAAAGGCCACGTCTTCACCAAATACAACTGAAAATAAGAACAGTAGGGGAGGCTAACATTACTCCAACACATCTTACTTTTAAATAATCATGTTTCAAATGCTTTTATATGAGTCACTAACAAAAGTAACTCCTAACATTTCATTCCACTTCAAGATTTATCTAGATCTAAACATTTCTCATGCATGGCCGGACAATAACAAATGAAGAATCAAGGTTAATGAGGAATCAGAACACTAACACAGCTGTCTCAAAACAGAATTCATGAAAATTATTCTGTTAGGCTTTCATTAGCTATTTACTTTTTTGATATATCCTATAGTAACATAGTGTCTAAAACTAAATGAGTAAAATTCCAAAAAGCAATTACACTCAGTCACAAATGAGTCATTGAAATTAAGCCTTCTGCTTCAACTGGTAACCATTTTCATTCTCCATCCACAGATTTCAATAAATATAATGTTTTGAAAACCATCAAATTGAAGTTTTTTTCAAAATATCAATCCAATATGAAATGTCAAGTCTTCTTCAAACATACTTGCCAGACTTCAAAGAAGTCTGAAGAGTGACTTCAAAGGAACGCCTCTACAGAAAAGATGACTATTTAATAACTAGGACAGTTCTCAGTATTTAACACTACTATTCTTGTAGTCAATAAAGTTTTATCATTAAAAGTATTTGCCTTTAAAACTTAGCTTCATATTAACTAATCTGTTTGTGTTTTTTTCTTTGAATTTTCTTAAAACAGTTTTGTTAACCATTATCTGTTTCACAGAAACAGATATTGCCCATTTCAAATTTCTAAGCATATAAGATGTGCATCAATATCACCAATAGCTGTTTGCATGAACCAGGGTCAGTTCTGATTATTCCACAATTCTTCAATATTCTCTATATTCTAAAGGACACAAAATAATAAGTTAACCTTCTTGCCTTTCAAATACTATTCTTAATGAAATAAAATAAATTTCTGATTGGAATCACTAAAAGGGATTAGCATACTTGTGCTAATCACATCAATGACACGACTTAAAAAAAATAAATTCTATAAACATGTAAAATGAATGCACTCATGGAATGTATGATTGAACTATGTCCCTAAATCATTTCTCTCATTTCTAACAGTAATTTGGGTGGGGTTTTATGTACTTAAAATCTTTGCAAGTTCATTCTGTTACCATATGGCTCCTTACTTTAGAGCCAGCTGGCACCTACAAAAAATCTTCCCACTTAATGCTGATATCCACAAACTTGAATGGATTTACTCATTCAATTCATCCACTGAAATGTATTTTCCTGGAGACATTCTAATACTAATCAACACAAGTATGAGGATTTCCACACTTAAACAACAATTGCTCAATTCCTATACAACTAAAAACATATGAAGTACATGTTTTCCATTGTGAAAAGTCCTAATTAATTCAGTAAGTGCAGTGATTCTGAGAACTCACATCTGGACTGTAGAACTCCAACATGGTCTTGCTTTACAAAAACTACGCCCTGCAAAGCTGAGGAGCAAGACTGGAACCTTAGAGCAAGTGGTTCTCTAAAGGCTCAAGATTATATATGAGTCTAGCCTCCTGATGGACTAACATTCGACTTGCTTTTATACGTCTGATTCTACAGAAATGGTAATAAAATCTGTTCTTGGCCCTAATTTACCCTCAGTTGTGTAAGTTTAATCTAATCGAGGCGCATATAAAACAGCCGAGATTGAGAGGGAATGTACACAGGCACAGTACTGGACAGACAAGATGGAATTTGTCCCAACAGATTAGACAATTAGTCAAACTTTAGGTTGAGCAGTGATTCAAGCAGTGCCAAAAAGGGCTACTAACAAACTAAAAGGAAAACCCAAAATTACACAAGATTATGCAGCCTTAGCAGCTGTGTTCATGGCATGAAGCATAACAATGAACAGAAATAAGTAAACCTATAAATTAATTTTGGAGGGTAGGGAAGAAAGCAGAATGTACAGAGTGAGGAATATATGGTCTCTAAAAAAGTACCAGTTTTAGGTAACAGAAAGTTTAAGAAATTTAAAAGCAATGTTTACATTTTTAAAACTCCTACTAGTGGGACTCGAGCTGCCCTCAAGGACAGTTCTCCTCAGTAATACTTTAAACATGTTAAAGAATGTATCTTCCGTCCTCACTTTCAAGTGAAATACGCAGAGCTAATACAGAAGATACAACTACATTTTAGACCATATAATCCATTAGTAATCTGTTAATGCAACACATTTTTAAGATTTGAGATCAAAGTGAAGTAATAACTTATTAGCAAACTTACAGGGCATGAGAAATACATTAAATATTGTACACAGATGGGCAAACCAAAACACAATTTACATAAAAGAAAATACACTAACAAGTATAAGGTACCTGCAGTTGGATCTTTGGCTAAAGCATTGTCCAAGGCACTTGTTATGGACTGGAAGAGATTCATCTTCTGAGTTTGCCCTGTGTGAAAGTGATCATTCCGCAATTTAATTTGGTTCAAAACATGAAGTACGTTAGAAAACACTGGTGCAAACATGTCTAAAAACTTAATCATCAAAAACAAGATCCCTGTTAGGGATACCCAAGATTCATTTGTTGAATAAACTTAAATTATAGGATAGATGGGATTGAGCATTGTATACTTGGCCTTCCCAAGGACTATAATTCCACTTCCAATTTTTTTTTTCAAAAATCTATGCTCTTGCCTAGAGCAAATGCAGCTTTGCAAAGCTCAGTCAAGCACTGGGAAGAATGTCTTCCTTTTCAAAGGAAGAAACCAACATATTATCATTTTGAGGACTGGGATCTCCCCACCCCCCTCCCCCTCACTAAAATTCACTGAAGTTTACTTTATCATTCTTTAATCACATTTTTTAAGCTCCAGCCTTTCCCATTTACAGACATCTATTATTATCAGAAACTTTTAAGACCACTGGCCTGCTCTCTGCACTGCAGTTAGTAAGTGTCAAGTTTCAAATCCATATTTCAAAGAAAGAAACTTGGTGCTGAAGCAAAGCAAGTTGTTTAATTCAGAACAAGGCTACCAGAATGTCCTTCTTCCTTCCTGCACTTTTGGGAAAAACAAGGAGACCTGGAAGCAAAGATGGACCAAAACAGTAGCCTAGTCCTCACTACTGTGACCAATTCAGATTCTCCAAGCAAATAAAATAATTCATAAATGAAACCAAGTAAGAAATTGCTTGGCTGCTCTTTAATTTGGTAGCTCTTTAACTAGCAAAATCTCTTAAGTCATGACTAGAATCTACAGTCCAGGAGAATACTACCTCCAGCACACACAGTGTGTAAAACTAACTAAGATAATTAGATGAAGATCCCACACAAACTAACAGGTGTTAGAATTCAGAAAGGTGAACTACATCCTTTTCCCAGTAGTTACAGTACTTCTCAACAAACATTCAGCTTCCCTTTCTTCTAAATCATTAATTAATGTTAGTATTTTTTGTTAAAGACTACTGTCATGCTACATCTGAGCAGCTGCATTCCTACACATTCCTGTGCTTGGTAACTTCACTTGTTATATTTTACATGGCCCTTCAAGGAGAGGAAAATGCGGAAAAGAAAATGTTACGAGAACAATTCTGGTTATAAAAAAGCCCTAACGAACAAAATTTACAAATTCAAGAGAAGAAAAGCTCGGGAATGGTAGCTGTTTCTCTCTTTCCCTATCCATCTATCCACATTAGTAGTTAGGTTTTCTACAAGATAACATCCTTGTATATATATAAATGGGTATTACTTAAGCTACTGTCAGAAACGCATCACCATGATAGTTCTAACCTGCTTATCTTGCTTATAACACAGGCCTTTGTATAAGCCCCACAGAGGAAGGGGGTAACTAATTGTATCTTTTAGATTTGACCTATGAAGTCGGAAAAGCAATATCTCAACAATATCAGGAGCAGTACTGCCATAACTTTATTTCACTTCCACTGCTTTTCCACAGAATTTTGAAGTGTATTTTAAGTCACAGGGAATTAATTTTCTACTAATTAATGGCAATTACTGGCATGCCACTCCAGAGCTTCTTTGCATGACCTCAAGCAGGGACCTGCCATACACAAGTTTCACTATGTGGCACCTTGGTCGCTGCATATCTTTGTTACTAACAGAAACTCTGTTTCTGTTGGTCATGATCAAGATGCAACAACAAGGTATCCAACCAAGTAACAAGTTTTCTAGGGGATAGTTAGGTTCAGGTTCACGTGATAGACGAAGCCGTTCTGCAGCCAGCAGGCTTCTTTCAGGAGAACTCGGCACTAGCCATTTGCAGGGACAAATCTCAGAAATAAAAAGTCAAACACCATGCGCTGCTCATTTCCAAGTAATCTGTGTTTACTTTCAACCATGTGACCACGAGGATGACCTCCAACCTTTCGGCAGACAGCAGTCTTTATTCATCATGGGTTTATTATCACACTCATGACCTAAGCATGCAACACAAAAACCAGGACAGATGTCAAGTCAGTAAGTTACTGCTAGAAGCTTTTGGTACAGGACAGGGGCCGAGGATGGCCTGGCAGGTTTGAGCACACGATGGGCCCATCTACCGCAGCTCTGACTCTGACAGCCCAAAACACTTCGCCACCCCACTGCCAAAGGGGCCTGCGGCATTCCCAGCCCCACCAGCGACCCACAAGGGCATTCCCACCCACAGCCCAGGATTCCTGCGGAAAGCCCCCGGGTGGAAGCGCCGAGGACACTGCGGGGTCACACGACCGTGCGGGTGCCTCTGCCGCCCGGGGACGACCCGCAGCGCCCCGCCGGGCCCCCGGCGGACTCTGCCTGCCTGCTCCCATCCCGGACGGGGCTGCTGGCGGCCTCCCCTAAGGAGGCAGTGGCGACAGGGCGGACCCGGCGGCAGAGAGAGGTTGAGGCCGGCCCGCTGGGTGGATCCCGGCCAGCCGCGCTCTCACCGTACTCTCTGGGCGCCGGGTCTGGCTGGAAAGCGAAGTGCGCGGCGGTGCGGCGGGGCGCGCCCGGCAGCGGGGCCAGGCGGCCCCAGAGCCCGGCGGGGAGCGCAGCGCGCAGCGCCCGCCCCGCCGCCGCCATCGCCGCCATGCCGCTCCGGCGCCGCCAGCGCCTTCTAAAGAGGCGGGGGCCCGGGCCGGCCTCCTATTGGCCAGCGCCGCCGGGGTACGGACCAATCAGCGACGGCTCCACAGTGGGTGGAGGAGTGGGAGGGAGGGTTCCTGCGTGCGCGTGGGGGCGCTGGGCCGGGGCCGGGGGCGGGTACGCGCGCGGCACGCGGGAGGCGGGAGCGCGCCCTGAGGGCGGGAGCGCGCTGCTCCCGTGCGCCCCACAGCGACGGGGACAGCGACAGCGACAGCCACAACCCACGGCCACAGCCGCAGCCATAGGCACAGCCACAGCCGCAGCCATAGGCACAGCCACAGCCGCAGCCATAGGCACAGCCACAGCCGTGGCCGCAGTCATAGGCACGACCACGGGAGGCCTCGCCCAGGTGCTGTCACAGTCGCAGCTGAAACCAAAGGTTTCGCCTCTCCCCTTAAACCCTTTTCTTCCACTGCAGGGGTTGTCGTGTCACCACCCCAGAATCGACAAATCGCAGACTGGTTTGGGTTGGAAGGGACCTTAGAGACGATCTGGTTCCAGCAGATTTGCCAGTGGCAGGGACGCCTTTCACTAGGCAAGGTTGTTCAGAGCCCGTCCGACCTGGCCTTGAACACTTTCAAGGATGGGGAATCCACAGCTTCTCTTGGCAACCTTTTCCAATGCCTCACCATTCTTGCAGTAAAGAATTATTCACCTAATATCCAATCTAAACCTGTATTCTTCCAGTTTGAATCAATTCTCCCTTGTCCTGTCCCTACATGTCCTTGTAAAACTCTCTTCTAGGCTCCCTTCACAAATATCTGAAATCCTCAAATTCTACCCCAGCAGCTGCCCCAGAAGGATGAAAATAATTCATAGACCTGCAGATATTACCTGTTCCACTCTGTCTCTCAAAATCTCTCTCGACTGCCCATCCAACCTGGCTTTCAGTCTGCCTTACTTTGACTTAATTTTTTCTAAGGTCTTTTCTTTGAAACACTCTTGCTCAGATCTTTGTTACATTATTTTATTGAAATTATGATCTTTCATATGCACATATTTTCTTTGTCAGGTTTTATAAAAACATTCTTTCTAATGTTCTCCTCATCAAAGTATGACAACCTCACATTACTTCCATCATCCAGGTGAATCTTCTTGGTCTACTTGGTCTACTTTTGCAGCCTCCATTTCTTCCTCTGTATACTCATCCTTGCTGCCTTTCTTTCAGTTGTCTCCAGGTCAATCCTTTCCCTTTTGTTAGTGTTTCACATCTTGTCCCTGTGCATGCCTCTTCATCAATCCCTTTCATGCAGCCTCCAATGCATGTGACAAGCTTAAAGTTGTTCTTCCCTGTCTGTTTTGATATTATCTGTAAGGCAAACCATACTGACTAGCGTTTGTTACTTTTCACCAAGAACTCTAACTCAATACTCTGCCTCAAAGAAAAAGGCTAGAAATTAGAATTATATATAAATGGCATCACCTCTTGCTCATATGTAATCCTGTATGAATAGGGCCTAGTTTAAACACTGGAATGATAGATTTCATGTCTAACATAAAATATGTATAACTGTTATAATTAGATTTTTTTTCTATCTGAGTTCCAAGCCATTACTGAATATTCCTGTAATGACCACAGTCCCACTTCATTGAAGACTATTGCTTCATTATGTTTTTAGTGAAAAAATATTTTCTCATGTTGATTTAGAATTTCTTAATCATTAAGTTTTATGCAAAATAAAAGGCTTACTCTTCCTGCTAACTGAGAAGACCATCTACTTGCTCTTCAACACGCCCTTTATCCTTAGAGACTGCTGAAAAAGCACTCAAATTTTGAGTGATTGGTCATAGGATCAAAGTTGGAACATATCCCAGTATATCCCAGGGAAACAAGGCACTATTTAAGTTTCTAAAGGGGGTAAGAATTTTAACAAACAATAGAATACCATCTTTGCAATGAACAAGGAGTATGAATGTCAAAAGTTGAGGTTGCTTCCAACTTCAACTGAAGGCAACACATAGATGTTTGATAAAGTTTAGGACCTGGAAAACATAATAACATAATAACCATCAAGTGATATATAATCATGTAATATGTATTGCTAATAGTGGAAGATATTAAAAATATCCAAGTTTGCTATTCAAATATTTGTGTTTCTTTCAGGAAGCAATGTATCTGAGTAGGAGGAATTTAGCTATATTTCACATAACTGTGGCAAGATCTGCAAAACTAAAAATGAAGAGCAATAGTATAGAAAGGAATTACTTTACACGTGAGTCTGACATCTATTACTAATGTGTCACTTACTGTGAATTGCTAAACTCATACTATAAACCGTAAGGTATATTCTGCTTATGTACAGTTAGTAGATGCCATGCTGGGACTCTTGTCTCCTATACCTGGTGATACATGGAACTTGAAAAGGAAATGAATGGTCATGTGGCCTAGTATCTTACAGAGGAAGTTATAGCATTTATGATGGAAGGGTGGAAAGAAGAAATATCTGCAGTAAGATGTTCACCTGCTAGTCAGACCTAGGTGAAAGAGAAAAAAGTATCTGGAAATATACTAACACCTGCATTGTTGTTGCCTTTTGAGTACAAAAGATGGTTTGTCCACATGGCCTTGGATATTTGCACTGGTAATAAAAATAAATAGATAAATAAATATATAAATAAATATTTTTTAAAGGGGCAGTCAAAGAGGTTTATCCAAATGTACACTGGCTGAACAATGTTTTAGTGGAGTTTAGTCCCAGCATTTATGTCTTTCCAGCTCTGATGGGGTAATAATTATATCTATGTCATTCCTGATATATGTTTAGATATTCCCGCAACTTCAATTACATTTTGAATACATATTTCTCTTTTATAAGTTGTTCAGTCACTTGGGGCCACTTCTGTTAAATCTGTACAGCAGACATTAAGAGCTGAAATCAACTGCGTTCCCCATCTGTGTGTATTAGTCATTTTGCACATCCTTAGTATTGTTGACAACCATTAAAAAAATCTGGCAGGGATTACTATTATTTGTGAATAATCATGCAGAGCAATTAATGAGGATCTGATGATTGCAGACCCTACTGACCCAGACCAGATTATGCCCACATTTATGCCAGCATCAATCAGATGTAACTCCTTTGAAGTCCATGTTGTTTCCTCTGATTGACATGGATCTAACCGTGGGCAAACTGCAATATTGGATTTGGACATAAACATATGGCTCCAAGTCTACTATTCTATTTCAAAATCTCCCAAAATTTTTACATACCTTGCAGCTGAACCTTAAACTTGTCACATTTCCTAGTAGGTGTTACTTTAAATTATGTTTTTATAGGTGATGAAGCTTCCAGACAATTTCTGTTGCATTCCTTCAAGCATAGCTGTTTTCTTGTCACTTCTGTCTGACATGTTAGTGTTGCTGTAAGTTTTCCTCCCTGCTCTGTGGTTCATGGAAGGAATCTTGTTGCATGTTTCCACCCCAGCAGCTGATTAGATGTTTTACCCCCTCTTACAGGAACTGCTAGTGAGCACTCTTGTCACATTAATCCTAGGTCTTGGCACTACAGCTGTTTTCATGTTTTGTTTGCTGTCTTCTGTCTTCCTTCTACCCTAATTATTGTCTGCTTTGTCCTTCTCCTTCTGTGCTGATACTTTGAAGCTGTTTTCTCCCGTCCCTCCTCCCTCAGACAAATGGGATTTTTTGTTGATTAGGGACAGTCATTTCTTTCTTGGATACGTGAAAAAGAGAAGTTTTACCATTTGGCCTGGCTGGTTTTATTGTCAGTCCTGTACAGATTTAATGTGGGAACAGAAAGGGTTGTCTTACCCATAAGAATGAGTAAGACAAACTAAACAAGACCAGAGCAGTAATGGTTTTGATCAACAGGACTTAGAAATACATGGTTTCATCTTAGGTAGCATAAATGCCAATAATGTAGCATAAACACCAATAATTATTATTTTACACTTTGATAAAAAGCAGGTCAGGGTAATCTGTCTGGAACCAGACAAGTTGTAGTCTGGCAAAGAGCAGGGGGGGGAAAGGAAAAGAAGCCTTTATGGCATAGTTTTGCACTCATTTTCTTGTAAGGTCAGAAGTCATCCAGTTTCTTCTGCTGTATGACCCACCTCTGTGGTAAGACAGAGCTTTCCACTCAGTCTAGACTAGTAACTGTGGGTTTCATCACCAATTGCTTTTTAGATTTTTAAATACTGCACACTTAAGTTGAAGACAGTCCTACTTTAAATTATATGAGTAATTCATAACATTAAGTGAATCAAGGCTAGAAACTGCGGTGTCTATCCATAGAGATATTGTTCAGCTTTCTTTACATGACATTTCAGTGTTTCATAATTACAGGATGAGAATCCCACTTTGTTTAATTCAATCTGTTTTAACTTGAAACCGCAGATCATATTTAACTATTTCTTGTACTAACTTAATCTAGAAATACCTGTACAGGAAAAGATTTCTAATATTTGACAGATCACAATTCTAATGCCAAAAAATGTCATAATTAAATCCAGTTTGTGCAAGGAATAGGGATCACATTTTTATCCTGGGGATAGTTAAATGTAGGAACAATTTACCTGAAAACATGCTGGATTCTCATCACTTCCACTCTTCAACTCATAACTAGATTTCTTTGTAGAAGATGTACTATAGCTCAAACAAAAATTATTATCTTGATAGCAATACTACTAGGTGAAGTCATACCAAAATAATTTTATTAATACCTTGCAGTTTTAAAATACCTGTTGTTGTTCAGTAATAAAGTGAAAATTGCTTTTTGACTGGTCAAGAAAGTATGCCAAAAATCTTAATCAGATTCAGAAATATGTGGAGTGATGGATTCTTCAGTTATATTGAATGTATTTGTGTATATGTATATATGTTTGTTTATATATATATATATATATATATATATATATATATTTATGACATTATAAGCAGTGTTCAAAAACCAAATACACAGAGATGGCTTTAAGTAATGGTCATGTGATTTA